CGGTTTATTCAGACGCTGGTTACGGGCAGTTTGCGTCACCCTTCTCATATTTTTGGAAGCATTTCCCAAACAAATTCCTCTTTGCCATCCCGTTGCCGACCTGATCCTCCGCTTGCAGAGTGGCGTGACGCAGACGTGCCGCGGGGAGCCGAACACGCGCACATGCTCAGTTGATCAGAGCTGCAGAGAGCGAGGCTGCAATAAGAATCATCACGCAGCTCAAAGTAAGACAGAGTACCAGATCAGTGAGTCACAGCAGCGGCCTTCATATCGACTCCTTTGAGACTGTTTGCTGTAATCGTGGCCTCTCTGGGCCTCCGTACATTTGAGTTTTTCCAGCTAAAGTTCTGATAAGTTTGTTGCTTCTGATCCAAACTTGGACTCCAGGCTTAGACTGGGAGATTCAGGCCAGAGGTCAGAGGTCACGTGCAGCTACGGAAGCTGTCGGTCTCGTTACGTTGCTCGCTGGCACTTAAGCAGAGCTCGTCCTCCCTCGTGCTCGTTTGCATTTCTGCTCACTGAGTCGTCGTGTCTTCCATATCAGGGCAGGAAAAACTCCCAGCAGCCCCCTCTGCCCCCTCTCCGTCTTTGAGTTTCTGTGGTCTCTTTCTTCCTCCGTCCGTCCCTCCGTCCGGCGTCACTATGCCCAGCGGAAACACATTCCTGCCGTGTCACCCCCGTCACCCCCACCGGTCCCTCGGAAAGAAAAGCTGCTTCTCCAGAACGACTGGAGGCTCTTTTCATGTTCGGGCGTGACTCCGAGGCCCCCCGAGGAGACTCTGGCAGGGTCAGCGTGCCACAAAAGGCGGGTTAGCGCCGCTTAAAGCAAAACCAGCTAATTGACGATGTCTGCGTTTGTTTCTCAGCGGCGGCTTTGCTGCAGGAGCGTCTTAACGGCAGCTTAAATCCTCAGAGGCTCCAAGGAGGGGCAGACAAAAAGCTTCTATAGTGAATTTGGCTTAAAGGTTGAGTTCACTGTTTTTTAATCCGGCCTTTATTAAAGCGCCGTTTCCTGTTTACAATATGAGAGGACAAAAGCTCCTCTTTTACTCACTTCTTACACTTTTAGGAGGCTTAACGTGTAAAAAATGATCTCAACTGGTTTATTCCAGGTCACCGTGTTAGATAATAGAATACTTGGCTTTGCTGATGAGAAATAAATCAGAAAAATAAAGCTGTACAAAAACCAAATCTCACATTTTCAAATCGAGGAAAAACGTTCACTTTAATCTGTGCGAGTCAGAAACTGCAGTTCCACTAATGTCCACCGGGGCTCCGGTGAGTCAGTCCCCATGAACTCCCATGTTAACGTGTTTGCAGCTCTGGTTGTAGTTGCTGTAGTTGCTATCCGGTTGTTCAGTGATGACACGACGAATCCTACTTCCGGGCCTAAAGTAGTCTGCGTTTAATATGGCTTTTGTGTTGTTAACATGTTTAATGTTTTGTATTTTCTTCTATTTGATCTCAAAAAGCTCCTAAAACAGTCAGTGATCACTGTTGACCTCCCTCGGCTTTTATTACCGCTAATCATTTATTTAAGCTCAGTTTTTAAAACCTTAGGATGTAACTACAGCCCAGCCCATGCAGCAGTATATGAATGACTAACCTCGTATTGTGGATGGATTATCTCAGTTGTTCTCCTGGCTGAAGTTTGGTCCTTTTACAGCATCCTGCCATGCGATTACATTTGTTCCTGACCACCGAGAACACTCACGTTAACTTTTATCGAGTGGAAAAAAAGTTAGCTTGTTTATATTATGCTAACATAGCTGTGTCGCTAGCGGTCACGTAGCACATCATTATATACCAGCTAGCCCAACTTCAGTAACCCTACAAACGTCACTGCTGTTTAGTTTTCTGTCTTCATTTATGCTGGAAGTGATAACAGAGCTGTACGTTTTAATTTGTTTCCAAAACCCCGCAGTCAGGACATGCTATATTGTATTTAGATAGAAGCTAGCGAGCTAACTCCCTGCTAACTTCTAACTCCGTTAAATGTCATAAATTCCGTTTTCATGGATGACTGGATGTTAAACTCAATTGTTACACCTGGTAGAGCAGAACGCTGATCATTTTATTAAAGATGAAAGACTTTAGACAGTTTTTCAACTCTCAGTAATGCCATAGTGATCGTTTGATATATGGACCTGCAGCGGAGTTTAGACCCAGACATGGCTAGTGACGTCAGACTTAACGACCGGATACATCGTTAGGGGCGTGGCCTCTTTGACCGACAGGTGGATGGCGACACAGGCGGCTAGCTGTCTGCTAGCTTCACTGCAGCTAACTGGAGCTGTTGGAGGTTTTTGGGGCCTTTTTAATGACACCATGTGACCTGCTGTGAGGTTACTGTGGTAACAGACCGAGAAGACTTAAACCAGTGTGTGACGTCACAGCCTGCAGCTTACATCCAGCATCTGGAGGCCTGTGACTGTGCAGAGGACAATAATCTGATTTACTTGATGTATGTTTATTTTTCTTTTAATTAAAATACTTTTTTAAACTCTGACAATAAAGCGATCCCTGGGGTGAAGGAGCTTTGGTGCACCCGGCTCTCCTGGGTGAGGGGTATGTTTGCTTCGCTCCACCTGCGTGCTCAGTCGCTGTAGCTAAGCGCTCGTAGTCATTTTAAGGATGGCTGACCTGTTCTGTGATTTAGATAAAAAGACGAGAATGAAACAAATGTCAAATATGTGAAACGGACACGTCGTCCAGCTGCAGGCGAGGCTGTTAACCCTTCACCTCTATAGCTCTTGTTAACTCCCTGTAATTCATCTCCATAAAACCTGAATCATCTCAGATTTATGAGGGTTTATTCTGCTGGAAGGCTCCACCTGCTCTCATAGAGCCACGTCTGCCAGAGTTTTAAGTTTCATCAACTTTCCTCTGTGCATGCTGGGAAACGGATGAAAGATGGTGGCAGCATGAAGATGGCTCCTCGTCAGCAGGAGCTCGGTTCATCCTCGGTTTGTTTTTCCAGTCTGTGTGGCTTCCTCTTTGTGTTCTCAGGACGGCGCTTTGTCGTCTGTCTGCAGCGTCACTTCCTGCGGGCCCCTCCGGCCTCCTGTCCCAGCAGCCACCTGGACTTTGTTTGCCTCCCGATTGCTGCGACAACAGACGCTTTTGTCCCGTCCGTGAGGATGCGGAGGCGTGTTTCTGTGCGGTTTCTGAAGAGACGTCACCGACGGGTTTGTGTTCCTGTCAGTGGCGTTCGTCTCCTCTGACGCCTCTTCATAAACCTTTGATCCGAGGCCGGCGAGGCTCCACGGGACGTTTGCAGGTCCCACGTGTTCGCCGTCAGATCTGAATGAAACGGCCTTTTATTCTGAAACTGGTGAACTTCACTCAGCCCAGTTTGTTCCAGGAACTGAACCGGCTGTGGAGGAATGTGTGGGAAACCATGACGGAGCGCTTCCTTTTCATGCTGTGATCTCTGCGAGCACACCGGCCTGTGAGGGGACGTTCCGGGGAGGCTACATAAAAGCAGCACGGTTGGTGTTCAGACCTCCGTCCACCCGAGGCCCGTTCTGCTCTCCTCACAAACGTCACCTCAGCGTCTTCCTTTTGTTTGATCTTGTTGCTCCATCTCTGCGTTTGAGCCGTTTCCCACCTGTGATGGGAACAGCTTTTGTTTTATGACTCTGTAAATATGTAATCATGAATGTTTGAAGGATATTTCAAACTCGATTACTGTAAACAGCCTCACAAGGCCGACACTTTGGGAACGCAGTGACACACATTTAATCCGTTCTGAACATTTTCTTCACGTCTGGTTTTCATTCTTCTAAGAAAACACCTCCACCCATGTTTGACTTACCAATGGCCAGTGTCCATGCTTTTATTTTGACAGTCTACAGTGTTGTGGCCCCTGATTATAACTCGGCGGCTCTGCGTGACGGTTGGTCCTGGATCTGCTGTGGAGAGCAGGTTCACGGCCGTCCACGCCGACCCTGAGTTGGTGCAGAGGCGGCTGGTTTCAATCGTCTGTCACATCAGGAAATAAAAACATCTGCTTCTGTTTGTTTCACGCCGAGTTTGGTTTGCGGTGAAAAGACGAAGCGAGCGTGTTTGTGAAGATGAAAGCAGCACAGTAGCAGTTTGGTCTTCATGAGATGTGCTGATGCGTCCCTGATCCAGCGCTCCAGGGTCGGTGCTGTTTGTTAAACCGCTGCGTGAAATTTAAAACCTTCAGCCTGACCTCTGATTGGCCGCCTGTGTTTGCAGCGCTGTGTGAACGGAGCGGCCGGTAATTCAGAAAATGAAACCTCAGCGGTGACGTCGCATCCACCGAGGCTTTGATTGTGAGCAGTAAATGGGCTCATAAACTCGGTGTGGTCCTCAGAGCGTCACGCACACACGGGGAGGACGCCGGCGGCGTGTTTGCTGTTGCTTCATTGTTTCCTGTAATAAACTGCAGCTCTTTGTGCGCTTCAGTCCTATCAGCAGCTTCACCTTTATTTGCCGTTGACACAGAGGGGCCCCTCCAGACCGGGGCCCTGTCAGCGCACTGTTTACAGAGCAGATTCTTTGGCTGAGCAAACAGCCGTACCCCCCGCCGCCCGGCTCAAACGCGGCGGCCTCCCTTTGCTCGCTGACTGACGGCTGCTGGAGCGCTCAGGCCGACCTGCTCAGACTCGCCAAATATGCGGAGACCGTCCGCAGCCCCGAGTGTCGCAGTCAGAGGAAGAACTGCACTTCACATTCCTGCTCAGCATTTCCCAAATCGCCCGAGATCATCCCCCCGACAGCGCCCGAGCGGGCGTCAGGAAACAGTCCTGCAGAGACACGATGCTCCGCAGAGATCCTCAGGTTACAGTCAGGGCGGAGGTACAGCTGCATCCAGCTGTGCTGTGCATGGTTTAACCTCCGCCCTGGAGCATCAGTATTTTTGATCCTGCAGCTCGTCCGACTCTCAGCTTCTTTCGGTCTGCAGGTTTTTAGTCTCCTTCCATCTGTTACACAAACTAAACCTAACCTAACGCTCCTCCCTCTCTCTGCAGGTAAGGCCTTCGACATCACCTACGTCCGCCTCAAGTTCCACACCAGCCGGCCGGAGAGCTTCGCCATCTACAAGCGGACCAGCGAGGGCAGCCCCTGGGTGCCGTACCAGTACTACAGCAGCTCCTGTGAGAAGACCTACCAGAAAGCGAACCGCGGCTTCATCCGCACCGGCCAGGACGAGCAGCAGGCGCTCTGCACCGACGAGTTCAGCGACATCTCGCCGCTCACGGGAGGAAACGTGGCCTTCTCCACGCTGGAGGGACGACCCAGCGCCTACAACTTCGACAACAGCCCCGTCCTCCAGGTGAGCGCGTTTTTACTTCTGATTTTACCTCATGAATCACTTTTAAAGGCTCTGAGAGCAGATACAACATCAGCTCCACAGAAAAGTGATGTTAGAAAATCTGAAAACAGAAATGTGACGAGAATCATGTTGAGGCACAAATTTGACCTTTAATCCTTTTAAACGTGTCTTCTGTTCTTCATAAAGTTCTTATTTAGAAATAAAATAAGGACACTGTTTGAGCCTCAGTAACTACGGATGAAGGCATGCGTGTGACGCCACCTGAGACATCGTGACTCCTCCCCTCACAGAACGAGAAGCCGGAGGTTACGCCGCACATCTGGGCACAGGGAGGTTTAGTTTGATAAAGAGCAGCAGCTCCGTGAAATCGGAGTTCGGTGGGAGTCGTTCACACAGTCGGAAAAGCTCACGTGAACCAGATCGCTGCTTTCCCCTAAACAAACTCTCCGTAACCATCAAAGATTCTTTGTCTTTTGAATATTCGATTTGTTCCCTTGGAGCCTGAAACTGATGAAATATTCCCAGAATGAAGGGAAAGTTTCAGACATCAGCATCTGCAATGCTTTTGTAAGCGAGTGTTCCCTCGTTCTGCAGACAGAAGTTCTTGAGCAGCACCGCCTGCGCTGCGACCCGCTTCCAGGCGACGCCCCCGGATTTCCCAGCTCGGTTTGGCCCGAGCGCCCGGCAGCTGGAGCGCGCTCCTCGTTGTCCCCTCCTCTTCCTGTCGCCCGTCAGCGTGTTTGTGATTGCTTCATGAGCAGGAAGCAGAGTCTGTGTTCATTCCTCTCGCCTCAGTTTTTGTTTTGTAAGGTCACTCTGACACACACACACACACAGAGACACACACACACACACACACACAGAGACACACACACACAGACACACACACACACACACACACACACACACACACACACACACACAGAGACACACACACACACACACACAGACACACACAGACACACACACACACACAGACACACACACACACACAGACACACACACACACACACACAGACACACACACACACACACAGACACACACAGACACACACAAACAAAGACACACACAGACACACACACACACACACACAGACACACACACACACACAGACACACACAGACACACAGACACACACACACACACACACACACACACACACACACACACACACACACACACAGAGACACACACACACACACACACACAGAGACACACACACACACACACACACAGAGACACACACACACAGACACACACAGACACACACACAGAGACACACACACACACACACACACAGACACACACACACACACACACACACACACACACACAGAGACACAGATGCACACACACACACACAGAGACACACACACACACACACACGCACACACACACACACACACACACACACACACACACACACACACACAGAGACACAGATGCACACACACACACACAGACACACACACACACACACACACACAGACACACACAGACACACACACACACACACACACACAGACACACACAGACACACACACACACACACACACACAGAGACACACACAGTGCTCTAAATACAGTTTATAGGTTTTATCAGTAACAAGAGGAACACTGAGTTTCCCACAGTCATCACGCTGGAGGTGAAGAAACACGAATGATGCAGTGGGAGAGACTCTCATGATGAATGTTCCTCTGTCAGACTCTGCGGGAGAGTTTGTGGCATCAGTGACTCACATTATTCATTTAGAGCTGATGTGTTTTAATCAGGACGGTCCTGAAAGGAGGCTGTGTGTAAGTATTTATTCTGAAAACAGCGAGTGACAGAAGGTCCTGATGGATGGACGGAGCTGCCCGTCCATCAGCGTTTCGTCTACTTTGCTGGTTCGGTTTTTATCAGATGAATTTATTCGTGCACTGTCTGCAGACGGTGTTCCTCATAGCTGCTGCAGGTCTCCGGGACATGCTGGAGATCAGATCTTCATGCATGGAGATCCTTTTTAAGGACGGATCATATTTCAGTCAGGATCTGACGCAGCTCGTTGTTTCTGAACCGTCGTCAGTTTTCAGTAAGGTCGGTCCTTAAAAAGCCGAAGCCCACGAACTCTGAAAGTCTTTCGTGTTATTTTTCAGTCTTTTCCTATTTTAGAACATTTGATTTATTTAAGTTTGGCTTGATTTTAAAGACGATATTAAAACAAAGACTAAACGTTGAGAAGAGTCAGCTGATGATAAACCACCAGCCATGACCTGACGTGACCTGTGTGCTGGTGATTAACTCAGGAAGTATATGATCCGAGGAACTCAAAATACAAATCTGCTGTTGCGCTCTCCGCCTTAACCTCAGATAACTAAACCCCGACGGAGGTTCAGGTGTCGATTGGCTCAGATGAAGGCTTGTTAAAAAGTGCAGCTGGTCCGGTTATCTGCTGACCGTTTTAAAGGCCGGTTCTTCTCCCATCTCCGACATTCATGCGGCATAAACGCATCCGGCCCGTCCAGCAGCTGCAGATCCTCACGCTGTCCCATCCAGGAAGCCGGAGCAGCCTCGTCTCCAAATCGCCGCTGTCTAAACTGTAGCGAACATTTGTTTGCCATCAATCAACTGCAGCTCCGTGCCAGTGTGGAGGCCTCGCCCGGGATGTGTTTTCTTGAAGGAAGAATGCTGCTTGGTTTTAGGAAGTCCTCCGGGAATCACAAACATTCAGCCTGGAAACAAACAGCCTGTCAGGAGGCGAACGAGAGCGAGCAGAGACGCAGCCAGTGATTATTTTAGAGGTGGAATAAACGTCCAGCTTCAGCTGTTTAGTCTGCAGCGTGTCAAGTCTTCCACATTAAAACTGCTCCACGGATTGAAATCTTAATCCGTTCTTCCTCGAGTCCAAGAGGGGGAAATTCCCAGAGATGTCCTGAAAGTGCTGCTGGGATTTTGTCCAGATGCGCTGTGAGCGTCCGGGACGAAAGATCCGACTCGTCTCCGTTAGCCGACCGACGTCAGCTGCAGATAGGGCTGCTCAATTAATCGAATTTTAATCACGATTACGATCTGGGCTTTCAACAATCATTAAAAATGACGGAGCCGATTATTAGCCCCTCCCTCATTTATCCGCGACACCTTAAAGGCCGGTCCGTGAAAATATTGTCGGGCATAAACCGTCCGTGGCGCAAAAAAGGTTGGAGACCGGATGATTAAGAGGAAGCTCGGAAAGCTAAGCAGAAGTTATTTGGAGAGGAGAGTGACTGCTGTTGGTTGAAAAGAGAGGTAAAAAAAAAAACTTCAGTGGTGTTGCACACTATGTTATATTATTTTTTAAAGTCATTGTTAACCCTTTAAAGCCGGTCAGAGCAGCACGCTCCGTTTTGCGTAACTATTTTTAAATCCCGGTAGCTCTGCAACCACGTGAGCTAGCGCAATAATTTGTTTTGCATATGAAACCGGAGGAGTTGTACTTACATCTGATGCCATCAGCTTGTCCTCGGTCACGGGTTCCTTCCACATAAAGCTTTGCAAAAACTGCATAAAAAGCGCTTGCAGGAACAAAAACATAATATTTCAGAAACACGCTTTGCCGATCCGATCAGCTGTTCGTAACATTTCCCACATTGAAACAGACGTCAGCGCGAACTATCACATGTCCGCCATTTCCTGCTCGAAACCGGAAGCGACGTCATTTTCGCGGGAAATGTAGTTTTTTACTTGTAGGCCTTAAAAGCCTATACTGGTGTTTTTATAAGTCATGTTTGACTCTATACTTTTCTGAATAGTTGCTGGGATGCTTAGAACTCGAATTGCACAGCTGGAAATAGTTTATTTTGATGCACCTCCTGTTTTCTTTGCAAATTTGCATCATAGGATTGTTTTTTGTTTTTCCTGCAGTATATAAAAATTGGTGTATCTCCAAAATAAAACTATGAAGACACTCAAAATAAATTTCCTGTTGTTGTAAACTATTTTTTGCAACTTTTTTGTATTTAAAGTTTTGAGGGATAAACCTCTTAAATTTCTCCAAGTAGAAATATATGTAAAAAACAAAACAAAAACGACTTTCAATTTTTTTTTGTAGTTTATTGCACTTTTTTGCAATTAATGTAGTTACTATGGACTTAATGCATACATATTATTAAAATATGGGCTATAACAGTTGTATTGATGTATAGCAACTTGAAATGCTCCCACAAATGGCACTACAACATGTAAAAAAAATAATATAAGCTCTGGCGGACTTGGTTCTATGGTAGGTCTTAAGGGTTAAATAAATATCGTCAAATAATCGTGATTATCATTTTTGCCATAATCGAGCAGCCCTAGCTGCAGACGTACCTGTGTCTTCCCGGGTGTTTCCAGAATGTGTAACTCAGGAACAGTGAGCCTGCTGGGGCCACGTTACGCAACATTAACGGTTGTAGCTCCGGTTGTAGCGCACACCTAAAAGCGTGGGAACAGACTGTCACTGCGCCTGTAACTGGAGGTGGCGCCCTCTGCTGGCTCGTTTCAGCCAAACATCGGTTAAAAACCCAAAGACGTCGATTCCAACACGATGCCGTAAACGAGCAGAGCGCTCAGACCCTTTGAGCTCAGTCTGTTTGAAACGAAGGACACAGCTCAGACAGGAAATGACATCAGCAAGCTAACAGGAAGTCTGGTTCACTTCATTTCAAAAATAAAAAACTGTTCCTGTCCTTTTCCTGCATCTGCCATGTCTCGTTATCTTTTCCAAAACGTTGTGTTTTCTGTTTTTTGAAGGGGTTTCCCACCTCGGGGCCACCGTAGGAAAAGAAACCCGGAGCGTGACATCTCCATCAGCCACTTTAACATGTTAGCTAACTTTCATGTAACGGTCGCGACATTTAAGGCTGATTTTTGTCGTGGAAGCACAAAGTGGAGTAAATGTGGTGTCGTTGGTCAGCAGATGGGTTATAGTTCAGCAGCTGCAGACGTGAGTCTGACAGGAAAGAATAAAATGATCGATCTAAATGTAATAAAGATCCTGTGGATGTCTAAGGCCACAGTCCTCGGTGAGGATGGTCCAGCAGGGGTGAATCAGGGATGTTGCATTTCTCTGCGGCTCACTCAGAAACAGTTAGAGGTGAAAAGTCGGGCCTGTAAACACTTGTGCCAGCAGCTCTCGGCTGTATTTAACGGCGTGATGGTTGATCGTCTGCCCGTTGAGGTGGACGCTCTCAGCTGCTGGTTATTTCCCGCTCAGAGATGACAGACAGCAGGAATGTCACAGAGCGACAAACAGCCGTCTGACGCCTCCGGCAGGCCGCCGCCTCCAAAAAGATCCTGGCTTTGGTATAAATAGCTCGATGCCAGCGAGACAAATAAGGAAGTTTAGAGCTGAGCTGCAGAGCTAAATCTGTTCATTTACACGGAGAGGAAGTACGAGGCTCGAAGGAAGCAAGGGAGGAAATGACGAGCCGTGAAAATGCTTTTCCAGAAGGCTTCGGCTGATTGCTTTTCCAAACTGGGATGGGTCATGTGATGGGGCAGACTGCCTGAACTGAAACATAGTCAAAGGTTACACTGAAAATATTACCAATAAAAAAATGAACTGGTTGTTTTATCAGCGTTTAAATGAGTTTACAGCTTCCTAATCGGCTGATATCGCTCCACCGATCACATCAGAGTGTAACAGAGTTACGTGGCAGCTAATTCTGCATAAATGCCGTCTTTCTCTGAGCATCTTAGAAGTTTTGTGTCTGGATAAAGGTGGACTGTGGGACCAACTTAGTAATGCACATGTGGAGGGTTTGAAAGGAGGAAACGCAGTATAGCTGTGACTTCATTGGCCAGCATTTCCTCAAAGAGCAGCCTTTGGTCTCAGGACGCCATCATGGAAGTGAGAAACCTGCAGTTCCTGTAGCGTCCACTGGAGGCTCCAGCATTCCTTTATAACTCGCCTAGATTAGTTTGCATTAGGGGCGTGGCCTCTATTCAATTTATTTAGATTCAGTTTTATTTATACAGCGCAAAATCACAACAACCGTCCTCAATGTGCTTTATATTATAAGGTCGACCCTACAATAATACATACAGAGAAAATGATATGATATGAATCATATGACCCCCTGTGAGCAGGATTTTGGTGACAGTGGGAAGGAAAAACTCCCTTTTAACAGGAAGAAACCTCCAACAGAACCAGGCTCAGGGAGGGGTGGGGCCATCTGCTGTGATTGGTTGGGGTGAGAGAAGGAAGACAGGATAAAGACATGCTGTGGAAGAGAGACAGAGGTTAATAACAGATATGATTCAATGCAGAGAGGTCTGTTAATACATAGTGAGTGAAGAAGAAACACCCAGTGCATCATGGGAATCCTCCAGCAGCCTACGTCTATTGCAGCATAACTAAGGGAGGATTCAGGGTCACCTGGTCCACAGAAGAGCGGCCTGATTATTTAAGACCTTGTAGATGAGGAGCAGGATTTCTGGATTTAACAGGCAGCCAGTGAAGGAGAAATCTGGCTCTAAAAACCAAGAGTGGTGGAGGCCGGCACGCTGAGTCTGTGGAGCTCCTGGTCATGGAGTAGCCTCTATAACAAGAAAGCACAGCTTCATGTTTCAGGAACCGGCTGTCGTGTTCAGAGCAGATTATTTGTGTTGCTCATGTTGGGAATGAACCCAGGAAGTTGTTTCAGTGCCGGTCGGCTGTGTTACCAGGCTACATGTGTGACACGGTTACATCAACATTTAACCGTCGTGCTCGGTGCTTTCAAGGCTTTATGCTCTGCTTGTTTCCTGTGAGGGTCTTCACAGGATTACCTCAGGACAGGTAAACTTCCTGTTTCCGAGCCTGTGAGTCGCAGGCTGTTCCACATTCCCAGCACTTGTCCGAGGATTTAACAGGCATGCGCGAAGTCACAGTTTTTCTGAGTGGGCGGACAAACATGGAGCAGGTCTGACAGCGGGCCAGCTCGCTTATATTCAGCTCCACTTTCCCCTCGAGCCGCCGCTTCGTCTTCAGCTTCTCCGAAGCTTCGGGCCTGACGAGCTTCCTGCTGAACGGAGCTATCGCTGGCTTTCCCACGAGGCGGGATGTTGAGTAACTTTCTTTATCCTCTGAAACACAACAGGTGTCCTGAGTAATTCCCTCCATCTGGATCTTGTATCGTAAGGCCAAGAAAATAAATTCATTTCTGTGGAAATGTCACAGTGTGAGGGCCTGCTGGTGTCTGCGTCACTGTTTTTCCCACAGCTGGAACTGAAACCACTTCTCTGTTTGCAGAGTACAAAAACCAGGATGTTTCACACGCCTGCGTTTGCTTTGAGTTTAATTAAAGTAATCAGATTACTGGGTGAGGTAGTCATGCTCTCTTCAGTGTGATCTTAAATCACTCTTGGGGCAGAATCGGCACAAACATGCTGAGGCTCATCCAGCAGTGACATCGTTCCAGCTGTTTGGATAAACGGGAGAAAAACCAAATAGTTTTAAATATTTCTTTAGTAGTTGGATCATAAAGACATAAATTATTTCCAGCCAATCAGGACATCAGAGCATGGTCAGGTGTATGAGCATGCTCCGTTGGCAGGTGATGCTCCTCTGTTTGCCCTCGTGTGTCTAACGCAGCATCCATGTTGTGTCTGTTGCAGGACTGGGTGACGGCCACCGACATCAGAGTGACCCTGAACCGGCTCAACACATTCGGAGACGAGGTCTTCAATGACCCCAAGGTCCTCAAGTCCTACTACTACGCCATCTCTGACTTCGCGGTGGGAGGAAGGTAAAGCCTCAGATTCACTGCAGGTCCTGTTTTTCAGTCGAGTCCTCTGGCGGAGCTCTGCTCTGCGGTCAGGTCCCGCCGTGTCACTGTGTGGTCCGCTTCCTTGTGACCGGCGCAGGATCCACACTAGAATTCGTTTTCGATAGGCATTACTCGAGTGTTGCACGGAGCACGACTCTGCAGCCATAATCTGTTTGAATGTGGAGCACATTTCCCTTACACCGCCAGCATTCCTGAAATTCCTAGCCGGCAGGGCCAGATTATAGGGAAACCGGAATGAGGCGGTCCGACAGCCGTGACGGATGGAAGAAAAGGGGCGATTCCCGAGCCGAGCACCTGGAGGATTTAACCTTTACTTGTCCCAGGAGGAGATTTTCCTTCTGCACCTTCACCTGGATCTACCTGAGCGTGCTCAGCTGGCAGCTCTGTGGGCAGATTTATCTGCACTTTATTATATCAACACTTTTCATTGTGCAATTCTGCCAGTGACTCATTCATGCAAACACACAGCTCATGAACGCTCCTTTGAACTCCTTGAACTCGTGCAGCAGCTCGCTGCTCATTGGACAGAAGATCACCTGGAGTTTTTCCCGTTTGCTCACGTTTTGGCCGGGAGGGAGCAAAGGGTTTAAATCCAGCTTAACATGTGTGATGTTCAGGATTTCTTTCATGCTTCTCCCTCCGTGCCTGCTCGGGTTCGACTGAACCTCCAACAATCTTTCTGTTTTTGAGGTCTTGTGAATTATGTGTAACCAGGAAGGTTTCTGATCCTGTGTAAACCCAGGACACAGCCACGGAGACGATGATCTTTATAGTTTGCTGTGAAGCGGGCGCAGCGATTTATTGAATTGTGTGCAAACGTGAAAATACAGCTTTTAATCCAAAAACGGAGTTTAACGGGCTCGTGAGTGAATCTTTGGTGTGACCTCCTTCAGCACAGCGTGAGCTCTGCTTTCTTTACGTATCGTTCGGAGCTCTTCTCCGTCAGGCTGATCCCACCAGCTGAAATCTGCTCCAACCACGATGGAGCCTCCACCTTGTTGCACAGAAGGACCTCTGTCCCGACCTCCTCCCTGAACCAAATCTAGATTTATCAGATTTCCCATCAGAACGGTTCCACTGATCAGTCCAGGTCTTCTATAGTGTGCATGCTGGGGCTGGGCCATATCAAACCGTTCACGGTGATACTGGTATAATGTTGGGCAACGATAAGAAAATGAAATATGGCGATAGAATATGGGTAAAACACGCATGTGCAGTGTTTTCATACGCACATGGCGGTGACGGAGAATGAGAAGGGCGAAAGCAGATCGTTGAATGAAACGGATGAATGAAATGAAACGGCAGCTACATTTAGCCACAGCCACCCTGGGGCGCACTGACAGAGGCGAGGCTGCCGGACACTGGCGTCACCGGGCCCTCTGACCACCACCAGCAGGCTACGGGTGAAGCGTCTCGCCCAAGGACACAACGACCGAGACTGTCGGAGCCGGGGCTCGAACCGGCAACCTTCCGATTACAAGGCGAACTCCCAACTCTTGAGCCACGATTGAACCAGAACTGGTTTGTAAAAATGCTGCAGCTTCAGTGGTGTGGAACTGGTTTGGCTTTCGTCCCTCAGATACACAACAAAGCACTATTTTTGGTAGCGCATGCGAGCGGGCCGTCGTTATTACCGTGTTTCTTGGAAAATACGGCGCACTTACAATCAATCGGAGCATTACGGCTATCGTAGGCAGGAGCCTCGCGGAGTGATGCGTACAGGTGTCCTTTCTCTGCGCCGAGGTGAGCCAGGCTTTCAGCTCTGAGAATCACCTCGTTGGTGTAAAAATACTTGGTTGTCAAACTGTTATCTCTAACATTTTTCATTTGAACTAAAGAAATGGGAGCAGACGATGTTTTTGCGACGGGCCGATGGAAACAAAGAGCTTAAAACTGGTTCTTTGCTCGGTGGTCCAAAGAAAAACTTTGATAGAGCTTCAGAAATCCCGAACTCGAGAGCACCTCAGTAAAGTCTGGCTCCTTTGAAGCAGCACATAAAGAAAGGACTCGAGACTTTTGCACAAAAGTGTGTGGCTCTGTCCCGCTAACGGCCACAGACTGCCTCCTTCTGCTCTTGAGGAGTGATTGTGGGGACATCTCACTGAAGCCTTCGCACTCACCGCAGGAGAATAAAGGACGTGTTGTCCCACGGAGGTTCTGTGCGTCACTAGATGGCGGCGTATCTCCGACACATTCCTCAGCGCTGCTCGTGAGTCGCGCTGACTGTTTATCTGTGCGCTGCTTTATCGCTCCTTCGTTCTGTGCCGTGAGCTCCAGAAGGGCTCAGGCTGCATGCTGAAGTCTGCACGTTTACAGTATTAAACCCGCTGCACACTGACTCAGTGCTGTAAGCCCGAGGCGGTGCAGCTTTAACAGCTCGGAGCACGAACCCAGGCCTCTCTTCCTTCCCACTGTCAGTTTTTCCAACAGCTCGCTGCCAAGAGACACCTGAGACCATAGCCAAAGGTGGCTGCTGAGCAAGTCCCGTCCTGCTGAGGCGGGTGGCTGCGCTCCCTCGGGAGGTTTGAGAAAACCTTTGCTCGGAGCTGCAGAGCGGAAAAACCTCATCGGGAGCGAAAACAATGACGACAGTAAACTGAACAAAGAGTTGAGCTTTAATGACGGTGTGTGAGCGTTAGCAGCAACCTGGTCCAGGTGTGACAGGTGTGCTTCTCTACTTCCAGGTGTAAGTGTAACGGCCACGCCAGCGAGTGCGCGAGGAACGATGGAGGACGGCTGGTGTGTAACTGTAAACACAACACCGCCGGCGACGACTGCCAAGAGTGCCAACCGTTCTTCAACGACCGGCCCTGGAGGAGAGCGACGGCCGACAGCCCCAACGAGTGTCTGCGTAAGTCTGCCGCCGCACGTTTGCCCCGTCACCGATGATTTCACTGCGTCACGAGAGATTTTGGTGCATCTTCAACTTTTTCACTGTTACCTGTTTCGGGTCTTTTATTGTGAAACTCTCCGTCTCTCAGCCTGCGAGTGTAGCGGGAAGAGTGCCGAGTGTTTCTTCGACGCTGAGCTGTACCGGGCCACCGGTCACGGCGGCCACTGCAGGAACTGCGCCGACAACACGGACGGCCCCAACTGCGAGCGTTGCCTCGACAACTACTACAGAGACCCGGGCGCCAGCCGCTGCCTGCCCTGCCTCTGCAACCCCGTCGGTGAGTGGTGCACACTGGAGAGTGTGTGTGTGTGTGTGTGTGTGTGTGTGTGTGTGTGTGATCGTTTGTTCTCGCGTTGTTTCGAGTGTTTGCTGATTATTTTCTCTATTTGATCTTTTTTTGGCCTTTGTTTGTGTTTATGTGGTAAATGTTTGTGTTCGTGATGCTTCTGGATGTTTTTGCAGCACGTTGAAATCACTTGTTTGCTCTTTGTCACCCGTCTTGACATTCTGTCGACTCCTTGCAGCAGTTTTTCTCTCTGGTGTCAGTTTGTCGGACGTCTCTGTTGTGATTTTTCAGGAAATCTGTCGAGTCGTTTGCAGAGAATCGAAACACAAATTGCAGAAAAGGTTTAAAGATCAGTTTTGGTGATTTTGTAAATGTTTGAGTGAAAACATGTGAAACCGCAGGCATGGACTTTGTGGTTTTCAGCAGTTTTTAACGGAGCGCAGCAGGAAACCACCGCCTAATGTGAGCCAGCTGCTCCAACCGCTCTGCACTGCGACGGCTCATTAATGCAGCTGATTGTTTGCATGTGGTTGGAGGTTAACGTGTTTGTGTGTGTGTGTGTGTGTGTGTGTGTGTGTGTGTGTGCGTGCGCAGGCTCTGTGTCCCCTCAGTGTGATGACCGCGGCATGTGTGCGTGTAAACCCGGAGTGACCGGAGAGAAGTGCGACCGCTGCCAGCCGGGACACCACAGCCTGACGGAGGCTGGCTGCAGGTACGCCGCTAACCCCAAACATCAGCTGAGCTCAGACACGCGAGCGTGGCCCGGCAGAGGTCATCAGCTCAGGTTGACCTCCTGCTGGGTGCACGGCTCTCTCACAGCAAACACTTTGAGTATCTCTGTCACTCGCTGGTTTTCCAGCTTGTTTGGTGACTGACGTCAGCCGTCAGCCGGTCAGGAAGTCACGTTTCCTTCTGCAGCAGGTTTGAAAGAGCAGGAGGTTTCCCAGTTCAGGCGCATTTACATTCCAGGTCTCCAGAAACAGCAGAAAACACATCAGCAGCACGACTCGACTGAAAAACAGCAGAAATCACAATGATGTGAAAAATCCGTCCATGCTCTTCCACTCATCCTCTTCAGGGTCGCGACACCGAGCTGCCCCACGTGAGAAACATTTAAAAAATGAAATCATGTATAAAAAATTGGAACAATAAAGTCGGAGCAGAAGAAAACTGGACATAAATCAGGACTGAAGACAGATTTAAATTGTCCTGTGTTTGGTTTTATGTGGGGGGCAGTAACAGAGAGCCCGGCCACCTTTGGGTTTCAGGTGAGAGGCCGAGCTGATCCGTCCTCTGAGCTGACACGCTTTTTCTCTGAAGTCCAGCAGCCGGGCGTCCACAGAGCTCCGGCAGTCCAGCCGGAGGTGACGGAGCCGTGGCGTTCCTGTGTGGGTCAGATACGACTCTGCTGAGCGGAGCTGTCAGCTGCACGGCTTGTTAGAGAGAAGCCGGACGTCTCAGAGACAAACTGAACCGTCCAAAGAGGAGACGTTCTCCCACGTCAGGAGTATTAAACCCCGTTTCAGTGAAGAAGAACTTGAACTTTGACCCAGGAGGAAACAGGGTCAGGTCAAGGGTCACGATTACATGAGCTGAAGTGTTGTTGGCTGCTGGAGAATGACCACTGAGCTGTGAGCGCCCCCTGCTGACTGAACTGTTTCAAACATCTTTTATTAGGAAGTATCATGGTTGTTACAGATTGATAGAACTTATGCCCCTTTTTTCTCCAAGCTAACAAAACAGACAAATAAACAACAACAAAAGAAAGAGAAAACAAACAAACAAAAAACCTGATGAGTCTGACTCTCTCTCTCCCCCATCAGGCAGTGCTCTTGCTCGCCCTCAGGCAGCACGCAGGAGTGTGACGTGAACACGGGTCAGTGTCGCTGCAAAGACAACGTGGAGGGCTTCAGCTGCGACAGGTGACGCACAGTCCCGCCCACACAGGGCGGGGCCTGCCCACAGCCCCGCCCACACACGTTCCGTTAACATGCAGCGAGTGAAAGTGCAGTTCGTGCAGCAGCACGTCACAGGTGTGTTCTTGCTGCTTGTGCCCCTCAGGTGTAAGCTGGGTTACTTTAACCTGGATGAGAACAACCCTCAGGGCTGCACGCCATGCTTCTGCTTCCAGCACTCGTCCGTGTGCGACAGCGCCGACGGCTTCAGCGTCCACGCCATCAAATCTGACTTTAGCAGAGGTAACACTGCCTGCAAGCCCCACTCAGGACAGAGATGACCCCACTCTAACTCCACTGTACATGCGCTAATATGTGTGTGTGTGTGTGTGTGTGTGTGTGTGTGTGTGTTAGATGATGAGCAGTGGACTGGTCAGGAGCGTGATGGAGCCAGGGGCCAGGTGCAGTGGTCATCCAGCGGACAGGAAATCTTCCTCATCTCAGAGGACTACTTCCCCATTTACTTTGTGGCACCAGGTACACACACACACACACACACACACACACACACACACACACACACACACACACACACACACACACACACCAGCAGAGGAGGAGGGGGGTGGCCTATTTTGGCGGTTTGGTCGTTTCTGACTCTGTAGAAGTCGTCTGTGGATTATCTGGTGGGCGTTCTGGGTGCAGACCCAGGAGTCCACACACAGGTGGAGGCCCCACCTCAGAGGCAAGAAACAAAACATGGATTTGTTTTTGTCCCTGTGTGACGCTGCTGCTGATTGGTCGGTGACTCTGACTCGTTTCTGTGTCACAGAGAAGTTTTTGGGGAACCAGGTTTTGAGTTATGGGCAGAACCTGACCCTGAACTTCCGAGTGGACCGGCGGGACAGCCGTCTGTCGGCCGAGGATCTGGTGCTAGAGGGGGCGAACCTGCGGGTGGCCGTCCCCCTCATCGCCCAGGGCAACTCCTACCCCAATGAGAACACGCAGACATATGTGTTCAGGTGAGGCGCCGTGTGTTGTTTTCCCAGTGAAAACCAGTATTTAATCCAGCAAACTGGAGCAGATAATCTGCACCAGTACGTTTGCTCTCAGCGTTAATCTGGAGTTTTGGGTGTAAATTAAACTCATAATCTGAACATAATCATGCAGTTTTTATTTACAACCTGTTCACATAGATTGATTTAATCTGGACTGTCTGGTTGCAGTCCCTGACATGTTTTGCTGACACAGATTATTTGCTGTTAATTTCTTCATAGTCATTTAATCTGGATTAAATTGAAAATATTTTGGTCATAAGATTTAAAATGATTAGTTGAATTGTGAACGCGGGGTGATTACTATTAAACTCCACTAATACTCTCTTAATCTGGATTAAGTTAGAGGTTTGGTGGTAATCTGTTTTGTCCTCCTTGTTTTGCAAATAATCTGGATGAAGCTGTGATATTTGTATGATTCTCAGGATTTGTTTCAGAATCTGCTGATGATGTCAGCTGATTTAAACCCTGTAGATTATTTGATAATCTGATTTTCCTTTTCAATGCTTTTGTCTTTGGTCTGGATTAAATTTGGTTCAGGCTCCACGACAGCACAGATTACCCCTGGAGGCCGACCATCAGCCACGCCGAATTCTACAAACTTCTCCACAACCTGACGGCCATCAAGATCCGCGGCACCTACAGCGACAGGAGTATGCAGCGTGCACACACACACACACTCTTATTGTCTACTATTGTTCACTAATCACTCACACCCTCCAGGTGCTGGTTACCTGGATGATGTCTCCTTGGTGACAGCAAGGCGGGGACCAGGTGTCCCGGCCCGCTGGGTGGAGCAGTGCACGTGTCCTCAAGGTTACCAGGGTCAGCACTGTGAGCAGTGCACGGTTGGATACCGCCGCGCCCAGCCGGAGCTCGGACCCTTCAGCTCCTGCGAGCCGTGCAACTGTAACGGCCACAGCGAGACCTGCAACACCAACACAGGTGAGGGTGGTGTCAGCGCGTCACAGAGGGCTGAGTGATGGGTTCGTTAATACTCAGGGCTGCTTTTTCTGTCCTCCACCCAGGAGCGTGCGACTGTCAGGACAACACGGCCGGTCTGAGCTGCGAGCGCTGCCAGGACAGTTTTTATGGCGACGCCACCCAGGGAACGCCAGGTGACTGTCAGCCATGTCCCTGCCCGCCCGGAGCCACCTGCGCTGTCGTTCCCAGAACCAGAGAGGTGGTGTGCACCAACTGCCCCACTGGGACTACAGGTACCAGATGCTAAACTGTCCGCCATTAGTCCAGTGTGAGGTGTGTTGTTCTTCCATGCTGTGCCGGTGTCGGGCGTGTCCCCGGTGCCCTGTAGGTTTCATGAAGTGATTAAAAATAGGTTTCCTTGATTAACTGTTACGTGTGCCAATCACGTGACCTCACCTGTGTGCAGGTAAGCGCTGCGAGCTGTGCGATGATGGATTCTTCGGCGACCCTCTGGGTCAGAACGGCGGCGTAGTCCGAACGTGTCGGAGCTGCAAGTGCAGCGGCAACATCGACCCCAACGCCGTCGGAAACTGCAACCGCGAGAACGGAGAGTGCCTCAAATGCATCTACAACACCGACGGCTTCTTCTGCGACCGCTGCAAAGAGGGTTTCTATGGCAACGCGCTGGCCCCCGAGCCTGCCGACAAGTGCAAACGTAAGAGGAGTCCAAAACCGAAATCCTTCCCGTGATGTTTGAATTGCGAGCGCAGCGAGGAAACAGTGTGATCTCTGATTTGTCCCCAGCCTGCGCCTGCTCGCCGCTCGGCACCAGGAACCAGCAGACCAGCTGCTCTCAGGGCACGGGTCAGTGCGAGTGCCTCCCCAACGTGGCCGAACGCGACTGCAGCGCCTGCATGCCCGGCTTCTTCAACCTGCGGAGCGGGAATGGCTGCGAGCGGTGCGTCCATCACGCCCACACATCTGTAGCTGTGCTTCGGTTCTGAGCGCCTTCACGGGCTCACGGCACGAAACCTCAGTCTTAGTCACGCTTACAGCGATAAACTTTAAATTCTCTTTCATTTCCAGCTGACTGGAAACCTGTGATTAGTCGATTCTGAGCAATTCTTCCAGGAAAACGCAAACATGCACGTGTTTCATTGTGTTGTTTACTCATAGATGATGTTCTTCTACTTCCCCCCACAGGTGCAACTGCAATCCCATTGGCTCCACCAACGGCCAGTGTGACATCGTTACGGGACAGTGCGAGTGTCAGCCGGGCGTCACCGGCCTTCGGTGCGAGCGCTGCGAGACCAACTTCTTCGGCTTCAGCGTGTCTGGATGCAAACGTGAGGAAACTCGATAATGTCACAGCGAGTCCATCGCTGTGACGTTTTAGCGTTACGTGAACAGAACAGGACCCAGAATAGATCCTGGTGGATCTCCTCCGGTCGGAGGTCAGCAGGCACCGGCTCAGGTCTGTTAGAACCAGAAACATGAAGCCATGATCAGCTTTTCAGGGCTTTGCATCAACTGCGTGCACGAGGTGCACCGTGCACCAGGAAGTGTTTAAATCTAGTTTCTGCACCTGCACAGATCCAACCTGCCAACACGCTGTTTTTGATATCATATTGTACGGCTCCAGAATAGATCCTCTGAGAACTTCCTTAACCCTGATACCTGTTTAAGGTAAACACAGCAGTTTGTAATGTCACAGCGCGCCGTCTGTTAGTGTGGAGTAAACTGGGACTGAAAGGCAGGATCCCAGTTTGCATTCCTGCACACTTGGACGCTGCAGCACCTGCTTCAGTGAAGACTCAGACCTTCTCTGCTCTAACAAACTGTAAAGTTCAACTTTATTCAGCCTGCAGTTTGCAGATCTGAGCCGTGTCGTCTTCCATCACATCAGGCAGGCTCGAGTCTGTGTGTTAGGCAAAACCGAGTCCTGTAACTTTAAGAATCCTTTGAGCGTTCAGGGTGACGAGCTGTGCTGTGTGTATGAGAGCTGTTATTAATGGACCGACGTCCTCGTCTTTGTTCCTGCAGCCTGCGATTGCGACCCCGAGGGCTCCGTGTCGGGTCAGTGTAAGGAGGACGGTCGCTGCGAGTGTCGGCCCGGCTTCGTCGGAGCTCGGTGCGACATGTGTGAGGAGAATTACTTCTACAACCGCTCGGTGCCGGGCTGCCAGCAGTGTCCTTCCTGCTACAGTCTGGTCAGAGACAAGGTGAGCCCGACTCCGAGGCAACGCCTTCGCTCTCCTCGCACAGAGGAGCTAACGTTTCTGTCTGCGCGTCCAGGTGAACCAGCAGAGGCAGAAGCTTCACGAACTGCAGACGCTGATCGATAACCTCGGCTCGGGTCAGGACACCGTCAGCGATCAGGCCTTCGAGGATCGTCTGAAGGAGGCAGAGAGGGCCATCATGGACCTGCTGGAGGAGGCCAAGGCCAGCAAAGGTGAGACCTGAACTGAGATCTGACGTTTGCAGTTTATTTCCTGTTGCTGAGCAGAAAGCCAGACTGAATGTCTGTGACCTTTGACCCCGCAGAAGCGGACCAAGGCCTGCTGGACCGCCTAAACGGCATCAACAACACTCTGACCACTCAGTGGAACCGTCTGAAGAGCATCCGAAACACAGTGGACGACACCGGCACTCAGGCCGACCTCGCCCGGGGCCGAGTACGTGACGCCGAGAACCTGATCGACCGCGCCCGCCAGGAGCTGGACAAAGCCAAGGACGCCATCAGCAAAGTGGTGAGTGAGGGTGCTGTTTCCATGGCGACTAACCGAGCTCTAAGGCATTTGGGGTTTTTTATAAAACACGACTGATGTCATCGACAGGACATCAAACCGCCCGGCGGCACCGGAGCGCCCAACAACCTGACGCTGCTGGCCGAGGAGGCGCGGAAGCTCGCCGACAAGTAAGACCCCACGACACGTGTCATCAACACGCGCTGACGGCCTGACCTTAACCTGAATACTCGTCAAAGACACAAACCGTTTGGACTTTTCTCCCTGCAGACACAAGATGGACGCTGACCAGATTGAGAGGATCGCCAAAGACGCCAACGATACGTCCAACAAAGCATACAACCTGCTGCAGAAGACTCTGGAGAAAGAGAGGAAAACGAGCGAGGAGATCGAGGAGCTCAACACGAAGTACGTCCCACCGCCTGACGAAACCTCACTTTAGTTAGTTTTTCCCTGCCGTCATGGTTACAGGTGGTTTTTGCCTTTTTGTTTTTGATTTGTGAGTTTTTTGTTGCTTTGTGTGAGAAATCCTCCTCGGTTTGGCCCTGTGGAGGTTTTTTGGAGGTTTCGTCTCCCCTTCATTTGTTTTTCATCCTTCACGGTTGCTCTGCTTCGGTTTTGTCCACGTTGTGGTTTTTTGAATCTTCGGTCACATCTGTTCAGTTATTCCATCCCTTTTTTTGAGTCTCTATTTTTTTCTTGTTCTTGTGGTTAATTTGCTTTATTTCGACTCATTCTTGGGACCTTTGTAGTGATTATACGCGGCTCTGTGGTCATTTTGCATCTCTTTGTGGTCATATTGTGTCTCCTGGTCATTATAGCTGTGAGGATGGGTTTTTTTTTCATTTTTAACTATTTTTATAGTAACTTTCTGAACTCCTTGGTGGTTTCTTTGCATCCCATTTTGTTGGCCAGTTTGTCTCCCCCCAGGGCTCTGGAGTGCAAATGTGACCAAATTTTTCAATGGTGCAACTAAAAAAATCTTAGGTCGCACCGCATCGACCAACTGTTTGAGTAAAAAAAGAAAAAGTGTCTGCAACTCTGAAAGTCTCCGTGTGGTCAACAACAGACGCACGTTATCGTTGTCTAAACCAATCAGAGATAGTCAAGGGCGGGACCTCTCTGATTGGCCGTGGTCCAGTTGAAAGTGCAGGCAGAGAGGGAGGTGAGTAGCTTGAATAAAGCGATATCGATTCATTTAATCCTGAATCGACTTTTAAGTATAACCGTGTTTGGCCAGAAACGCCAGAATCTCAGGTTAAATATTTCCACAAACAGTAAATGAGAGCAGGCACACGGACTCCACACAAAGACGGAAACACAGACCCGAAGCATCAGAATCAGTTTTCTGTTTCGGCTTTCTGACACGGACACGCCGTCGGGGCTGGAAGCCGACAGCTCGCTGATGCGTCGGGTCCGCGCTGTGTTTACGTCTTTTTTGTGTTGATTCTGAGCTGCAGGTTTTGTCTCTCGCCAACCAAAATTCACTGAACCAGCAGCAAAAGAAGATCAAACTACGCTCCACATTTGATAAACATCGTCATGAATTCCCTCTGAGCGTCGCTGTTTTGCTTCCACCACAATAAAACGCACACACGCTGTGTGTGCGTGTGTGTGTGTGTGTGTGTGTGTGTGTGTGTGTGTGTGTGTGTGTGTGTGTGTGTGTGTGTGCGTGTGTGTGTGTGTGTGTGTGTGTGTGTGTGTGTGTGTGTGTGCGTGTGTGTGTGTGTGTGCGTGTGTGCGTGTGTGCGTGTGTACTCCAAGAACAGTTTCTCATCTCAAATCTGTTTTCTGTATTATTCATTCTCTTATTATAACACTGCGGTGTTCAGCAATGCGGTTGAAAAACTTGGGTGCGCCTAACTTTTCTGCTGGTGCGGCACCAGTGCAACCGTGGCGACCCGTTAGTCTAGAGCTCCGCCCCTTCAGTCATTTTCCTTTTGTCGTTACTTTGCTTCTTAAAGTCATTTTTCATCCCTTTATAATACCATAATAATGCCAATCGCTGGAATTAATACTGAAGTTTTTGGGATTCTTTTAATGTTATTTGATGCTCTGCAGCTCGTCCACACGGGCTCTCGTGCATCCAGCAAGCTGTTCATCAGATCGTTTTGGAAAGGACAGAAACGTACAGCTCGTTCTTTGGTCTCACAGCTGGCTTCAGATCCAGAGTGATTTTTGTTGTCAGACATTTCCTTCAAAGATGGAAGAGGAAGAGTCGTTGAGCAGACTTCCTGATCGTCTGTGTTTTGTGTCCTGTTCAGGTACAACGAGGCGAAGGAACTGGCCAAGAGCCTGGAGAAACAGGCCACCAAGGTTCAGACCGAGGCCGAGGAGGCCGGAAACAAAGCTTTGAAGCTCTTCGCTAACCTGACCAGCCTCCCACAGATCGACACCAAGGCCCTGGAGGTGAGAGATGGACGCCGCAGTTTAATGTGAAACAGCGGAGGAAAAGTGTCGTAACTCACGTTTCTGTTTTCAGGAGGATGCCAATAAGATCAAGAAGGAGGCGGCGGACGTCGACAAGCTGATCGATAAGACGGAGAAGGAGTACAACGACCTCCGAGAAGACCTGAAGCCCAAAGAGCAGGAAGTGCGCAAACTGCTGGATAAAGGCAAAAGTGAACAGCAGGTGAGTTCAGGGCCTCTGGGAGCTTCTCAAGAGAAAAAAACGCAACACACAAAACTGTTTCCTCTTCCTGTGCAACAGACGGCCGATCAGCTGCTCGCTCGAGCCGACGCCGCCAAAGCTCTGGCCGAGGAGGCGGCGAAGAAGGGCCAGGCGACGTTTAAGGAGGCTCAGGACATCCTGGACAACCTCAGAGGTACCCGAGTGTCCGCCGTTCACCGGTTTCTGTCCGTGCTGCGTTATTGGTCCGTTCAAAACAAGATAATTAATAAAAAAATCCTGTAAAACTGTCCATCGAGGCTTTGAGTTGACTTTAACAACAAAAAAACCTCTTGAAGGTGCTAATAGTTTGTAATGCGTCCCCTTTTCCATTTTCCTGAAATGCACCATTTCTGCTTCAGGCTCCGGGTGAGATGGTAAAAATCTGCACGGAGATTTAAAATAAAGCCGTTTTCGTCACGTAACTCTGATCCTCGTCCACCTGCGGGGTTTTTCTCTCTGACTTCCTGCAGATTTTGATAAGAGGGTCAACGACAACAAGACCGCCGCAGAGGAAGCCTTGAAGAAGATCCCCATCATCAACGCCACTATCATGGCCGCCAACGAGAAGACCAGGCAGGCGGAGGAGGCGCTGGGCAACGCTGCCGTCGATGCTCGAGAGGCAAAGAGCAAGGCGGAGGACGCCGAGAGGATAGCCAGTAATGTGCAGAAGGTAAAGCGGCGGCTCGTCATTGGCCTGTGTCAGCTCGCCGGTTTCTCTCCTCTCACTGTGATTAAACTCGTGTCCTCGCAGGGCTCCGCCAAGACCAAAGAGGAGGCGGAAAAAGCCTTCCAGGACACCACCAATCTCGACAACGAGGTCAACGACTTGATGGCACAGCTGACCGACGCAGAGAAGGAGCTCAAGGAGAAGAAGGCCCAGGCTGACCAGGACATGATGATGGCGGGGATGGTACGACTCGCTCGTCACTGAACTCTCAGACTCTTTCTCCGGACATTATAAAAAGTTTAACATCCGTGTTCCTGTCCTCAGGCTTCAAACAGTGCAAAGGACGCCGAGGATAACGCCCGCAAAGCGAAGAGTACAGTGAAGACGGTCCTGAAGGTCATCACGGACCTGATGAACCAGCTCGGTAAGAACACCAGTCGAGCTGCAGCACCTGAACTTCTGAGAATGACTCGTTTCTTCGGGAGAAACCATAACGCTGCCTTTTTAATTAAAGAACTGAGCGATTGACGGGGAAACTAACTGTGGTTTTGTTTCGTGTGCAGGAAACATCGATAAGATCGACCTGAGCAAACTGAATGAGATCGATGAGTCGCTGAAGAAGGCCAAGGGCGAGATGGACAAAAGCGACCTGGAGAAGAAGCTTAAGGAGCTGAACAACGTGGCGCAGACTCAGGAGGCGATGATCAACGACTACGACCGGCAGATCCGCGAGATCCGCGCCGACATCGCCAACCTCAACGACATCAAGAACACATTACCCGAAGGCTGCTTCAACACGCAGTCCCTGGAGAATCCTTAACCCTAACCCCGCCCTTCTCTTCCTCTAGCCCCGCCCCTTGCCCCACACTCACATCTAACACTCTGGCGAGCACGCCGCCTTTTACCAAAAACACTTTTTGTTTCAGATTTTTTTTTTCTTTGACGAGACAGAAGCCGACGTGTGAAACCATGATCACGTTTTCAGCCGCCGAGAAGCAGCTGATTTTTATTTTCCCGAGACGCAGGGGCGTGGTTACGCTCGAACGAACTAAACGGCGTCGAGAAGCCGTGCGGAGGAACCAGAACCACAAACCCGACGTGACTGCAGCCGTCTGCTCCACAGCAGGAAGTTTGAGCGACGCAGGAAGCTCTGCCCACATTTCTGTTTTCTGTGTCCCACCAGCCATTTCCCATCGTGCCCAGGGGCGCTTTCGCAGCGTCCGCTCACTGAACGCCACTGCCTCCTCTAACCGGCAAACACAGTGAAGGAACCCTCGCTTTTCCTCTGAAGCTACGTGCCCATGCAAACAGCAGGAGACCTCCTCATCCTGCACCTCCTCCGACAGTGTTTTCTCCTCCAAACAGGTTAAAGATGCAAACTCGGCCGCTCCGCGACGAACCGCAGAAATCCAAAAACATTTCAAAACTAAACTCGTTTCTAGACGACGCATCGCGATGATATCAAGATTTCTCGTCAAGCTTGCAAAAAATTAAAAATGTAAAACTTGGAATATTGAGCCTGAAGATGTAAACCTGGGAGATTCTCTCGAGTTACGAAGGTAAAATGAATGCGCCGTCATGACTGTGAGAGATGTGAGATTCAGGATGTTGTTAAAAAGATAAAATGCCGAGTGAGCGTTTTTACCCAGAATGGCTCTAAAACGCTGATTTCTTTCTTGCAATGAGATGAAATCTCGATGTTATTTCGATGTTCTTGACGATTTCCTGTCGCAAGACGATCTGGGAGAGCGACGCGAGCATTGCTGCTCCTCGGTGTCGATAAGCTGTCGCAGGTGTTTGGCAGGAAGTCTTTTCAGTTTTGTGTTTTCGGGGCTTTTCCTGCTTCGTCTTCGGCGCGCTCTCCACGCTTCAACGCTCCCGTCTGGACTGTCACGCGTTAACGCTTCGCTCCAGGCTCGATCCAACACTATGCAACTTTGTACATTTTGCGTAGCGAGAGTTTTATCTGATACACTGGTGCTAATAATAATTATTTCAAATGTTCTATTTTTGTGTGAATGTTTTTTTTATTATTCTGACACAGAGTGAGGAACTTTTGTCGTGTGTAAATATCTGATGATTCAGGACGGGCTGATTTTCTCCACCCTGCAAACAGCCTCCATCACAATCAATCAACGGGAACCTCCAGCATAAATATCTATAAATATCTATAAATATGAATATCTCATCACATGTGCCTAGTTATTATTATTATTATTATTATTATGCTTGCTTGTATACAAGGCTCAGTGTTGCTCCCTCATAGCGACACCATTACGTTTGTGTTTTGATTCTCGTGTTTGTTTTCACCCTCTCACCAATCAGGTTGTTTTTTGAGTGGGCGTGGCCTGCCTCACCAGTCATTTCACTGAATGGAGTTAACAAGTCACATGTGGCTAAAGTAGCTTTTGATTAGTGTTTTTGTGCCTTAATATTAAAGTTCCTGCGAGGGCGTCCATGCTTTCATTTTGTCCTCGTGTCGGTACTGAAGCAGGTTTTTCTTTTTGTTGTTTAAAAATCAGGTCCCAAACAGAATTTAAAATGCCACTAGACTATTGTGCTTTTATTTTGAAACCCCCTCCCCTGACCAGTGCTGGGGAGGCTTTTGTCTGTTTTTATTTCCCTCCTCCATCCATTCGGCCGCTCTGCAGGTGGTGCAGCTCACGTGATGTATAAACAGTATTTTAAGTTATAATGAACCGCTTATTCGTTTTGCACCGCCCCCCACGTCGCCTCAGACAGTGATGTGCGAGCTGCGCGGCGTGCAGGGCCGCATGTCTGCAGCCCTGTGAGGACCTGAACCACCCGAGTGTTTGTTCTTGTTTGTGCCCACGTGCCTGTAAATCCAAACGTAACATTTGAATAATAAATAAATTCCTACAGTTTGTTCGCGTGTGCTCCTGTTTTCTCAGCAGACTGTAACACAAAGATGGACGTAAACGCCACAGAGCCTTAGCGCTAGTGTTACAACGGCTGCCATGCTGGTTTCCTGGAGGCATGACGGAGACACATTTGGAGGATCGGGTCCCAACACCACAAAGACGGTCCAGGGGTCGGGTTAGCTTAAGTGAAGCCCAGCAGACAGCTAGCGGCTCCACCCACCTCTGTCACCATCCACCTGCTGGTCAAAGAGGCCACGCCCCTAATAATGCAAACCTTAAGCCTTAATAAATGTAAACAGGTGAGCTGTAAGAACATCCTCCCCCTGTACAGGTGTTAACTGTAAACATTTTAACATGGAGCCTCCAGTGGACGTTAGAGGAACTGCAGGGTTAGCTTTTACTTTTGTTTTTATAAGACTGAAAATTGGAAAACTCTGGAAAACTCCGGGAACTAAAGAGGGAATAACTACACGCATGTTTCCATCCGTGGGCTTTTCCTCCTAAACAGAGTGTTTGAGTCCTTGCGCACACCGAATGTTTGACGTGTTTTCTGTTGCCAACTCTCGTCATCCAGACCAACCACGCAAAAGTTAACCGCCGACGTCCTGAGGTCATGAAACCGAACACGGAGGGCCGAGCAGGTGAACTCATCAAGCGACACCTGAAAACATCTGGGCTGCTGCTGTGTGAAAGCTCCTGTATCAACTTTATTTAAACCTTTTTTGTGCATCAAAAGATTCCTGAATATAAAATATACAAAGTGATGTCTTATTTGTTGAAAAGGTCAGAGGTCACTGCATTCATTTTTTATATTTCACACAAAATCCCAACATTTAAATAAAACAAAATATTAATATCAGTTCTGATCAGACTGACACCATATTTACTCTGGTTCCCTTTGAACACAGATCAAAGCAAATCACATGAAAAGAAATTTTATTGGGTCTCAAACTTCTGCATCGCCTTTAATAAAAACTAAAATGAGAGGAAACTGACACGTGACCTGTGTGTCTGTGCTGTTTTTGAATCTTGTCTTTTGAGAAATGTTTAAAACGATCACTTAGGAACAGCAGCGAGGAACTTGTTTACGTCCCGTGGATGTTTCATTCTTTCAGTGTAAATTTTAAAGGAATTTTTAAGCTAAAATGTAAAACCTGAGTCAAAAAGTTCTTCTGGCATTCAAAAGAAAACTTTCATGGAAAAATCTGATGTCATCAACCAAATCCTGTCAGAATTAACAGGAGTACAAAACTGAATCATCTTCTTGTCTAAAGGTTTAGAAAGTGTGAATGTTAAAGATTTTAAACTCTTTTGAGCTGAGATTTTTATTGCGCATGAGCTCTCAGTCCGGCCTGCAGTACCTTCAGGGCCCACCAGAGGGCCATGACACACAGTCTGGGCCTCACTGATCCAGAGGGCGTGAAGAAGTGTTTCTGCAGGTGAACCGTGAGCCGCGGTCTGCAGACACCACGCAGGTTTTTATCATCGTGAGACTGCGTGGAGGTTTAAAAGTGCACCAGGTGTGAATGCGGCCTCCAGAACTTTAACAGGAAATAAGTCACGGCCGTGGCGTCTGCGGCGTCCTCGAGCCCACGTGACCTCGTTCCACTTTTGGGCTCTCATTGGTCCGTAACTGACAGCGAATGGCGGTCGACCCCGCAGCGCCTGATAAATAATCCAGATTATAAAAGGAAAAAAAAAAGTCCTGATTCACGGAGTGGCACCACCCAATCTGTGGTAAAAACAGGAAGTGTGATTTCCGCCCACAGTCCTCGCCACCTGTCAGGACGCCGCACTCTCACTGTGGTTTTTCATGTGGCGCCGCAGCGTGTACACGTCGCTGAAGCAGCGGTTGCAGTGGCTGCAGCAGTACGGCCGCTCCTCCGTGTGGTGCTTCATATGGTGTTTAAGTGGCGTGCTGAGAGCGAAGCCCCTCCCGCACACGGGGCAGGTGTAGGGCTTCTCGCCCGTGTGCGTCCTCATGTGGATCTTCATGTCCGAGCTGGCCGTGAAGCTCCTCCCACACATGCGGCAGCTGTAGGGTTTCTCCCCGGTGTGCGTGCGGGCGTGGCGGATCATGGAGGAGGTGATGTTGAAGCCCTTCCCACAGATGGTGCAGTGGTACGGCTTTTCGCCAGTGTGCGTCCTCATGTGAATCTCCATGTTGTTCTTGCGGGTGAATCGCTTCCCGCACAGCCGGCAGCTGAAAGGCTTCTCGCCCGTGTGGCTGCGTGTGTGCACCTTCAGCTCCACCCGCCGCTGGAAGCTTTTCCCACATAACTTGCAGACGTGGCTCTTCAGGTGTGTCCGTAGGTGCTCCAGCAGGCGTTGCCGGTCAGCCTGCGGCTCGCCGCACACGCTGCAGAGGCAGCACTCGGTGGCGGCGTGAGTCTCGGCGTGGTTCAGCAGAGAGCCCCGGTAGCTGAACTTCATCCCGCAAACTTTACAGCTGCAGGAAGTCCCACCTCCTCCACTGCCTTCACCAACAGCAGGAGCACCATGCGGAGGAGGAGCAATGGGCTCCTCACAGGAAGTGCTCGGCTGGGCTTCGTCTTTCATTATCTCCACCATCTGAGCCTCCTCCTCCTCAGGCAGCTCATGCTTGAATGGTTTAACATCCTCCTCTGCTGCCTGAGGAGCGACCCACACCTCCTCCTGCTGCTCCTGCTGCTCCTGCTTGATGGTCGGCGGCTCAGACTCCTGGAGGTGCTGAGTGTCTGCAGAGGACGAGAGCGTGTTTTTTTTAATTTCTGGAGAATATTTGAAACATTAAAAAGATTCTTGAGCTTAAAGAAAACAAACAGAACCACAAACTGCAGAAAACAAATCGACGAGCAGCTCATTAGTGAATGAACATGGTGCAATAAATGTATTGTCAGAAGGACATTTTTCCAAACACTTGAATTTTCTTGCATTTACTTGAGTGGGGTTAGGGGTCGCCACTTCAGCATGCAGTCAAGTTCTGTACTCTTGTTAATGACCTACTAGTTGCATTCAGGTGTGCTGCAGCAGGGACACATGGAAACGTCTCAGGCCCTCGAGGACTGGAGGTCGAGACCCCTGCCGTGAATAAAAGAATCAGGAAGAACGTGACAGTTTTAAGCTGACACTGAAGATAACCTGCTCGCCACCGGGTGTGATCAGTGTAGGTTGCCATGGCGACTTAACCACGCTAGCTAACCCATTCATCTCCCCATAGACGAGCCCAGGACAGGTCTCCCTGCCTGCTGACCAATCAGATCTCTGGAGGACCCCTCAGTGCAGGTGGGAGGGTCTGAAGTCTACCTGAAGAGCCTCAGTGAGAAACTTTGACTGTTGTCTGAAAGCAACTTTACAATCCTTTTACGATGATTAAATCAGAACACCTGCGTTTGTCTTTATTCGTTTTTATACTCAGAGTGTGAAAGCCTCGCACATTAAACACTCATTTATTATAATCCATCAGGTCAGCCTGTGTTGATCTGCTCACTGATGCTGGGGGGGAGGGGCTAAAACTCGCCCTGATAACGAACCAAAGCAGAAATAACAGAACGTTTGTTTATTTGTTCAAAGAGCTTGGAGCCGGCTCGAGTCAAACATCACCCAATTAATGAAAGAGTTTATTCAGCGTGTTTCCTTCACCCTCAGAGGAGCTCAAACCTGTGACGTCAGGGGGCGGAACCAGGTGAGGAAGTTTGACGTTAGCGGGTCTGTCAGTTTTCGTTCCGCTGAAGCTTTTATTGTGAAAAATAAACAACAGAACCAGAAGCTCGCTCACGTTGGACCGGACCTGTGTGCGCGTCCCCGCCGACAGTCGCGGGCTTCGTAGGTGCGTACAGGCGGATGAGCTCGTCCTCGCGCTCCACCATCACTCTCTCCACCAGCACGAGGATATCCTCCGCCGCCGCCGCGAGCCGCTCCGTTACCGCCGCGCGGAGGAGCCGCAGGTGCGCCATGCTGACCGGAAGAGCCCGAAAACAGCCGAAAACAGGCAGCAGCCGCCGGATTTTAGTCCCTGCAGCGCACTGCGGCTGCGTCAACAGCAGGAGACGGAAGTTCCACTTACACTTCACAATAAGAGCTTATATTTGTATATTTCTGTTATCCTGCAGCCTTGAATATTTTTTTAAGTTATTTTATATGTTTTGTGGATTTGAAATGTTTTTCTAGCAGTCTCAAGTCTCTCTGTGTATGTGTGTGAGAGAGATCTTTTTTTTGTTTTCTCGTTCTTTTCGGTCCTGAGTTTTTTGTTCAAAGGTTAATGAAGGTAAAGTAAAACCAGATAAGAGCTGCACATGAAGTGTGACTGCGACTTTCCGTCATCGGTGAGTTCAGATCCTTTACAGGACTCTAAACCTGAGCGCTCCCAAAAATAACTACAGTAATATTGGAAATAAAGTATTTTATTATTCTGACATTTCACCTGAATATTCTGCAGGCGGTGCCGTTGAATGGGAGCAGGTTTAAACGTCGGTGTCAGTGATGTGCGCGCTCACACAGAGGCGCTGTGTGCTTTAATAAATCCAACTCGTCCTGCAGCAGGAAGAGGACGAAGACTTCATTTCATGAAATCAAACAGACTAGCTAGACGGGTATTTTTATAAATAATATTATATTAGGGAAATTTTCCAAGACATATTTTTGACCTGGGGGTAGAACTGATTGTGAACTGGAAAGGGAAAATGCTTATGAACTTGCAAATTAAAAACATGATGCATTTAAGGTAACCCTTTTTCATTTGTATTTAAGAAGAAAATTTGTTCCACTGTGCGATGGCCGAAACTGTTCCTTTTCGTGGCGATAATTTCTCCTGCCTTAAGGAAAATCCCTTCACATGGCACAGAGGAGGCTGGAGTGCAGAGAAACTGGTAGAGATGCAGTTGTACAGTCTACCTGGGCCCCACAAACTATCAGCTAAAGAGAATAGATAAATTCAATTGCTGCACATTTGGCAGACTAACATTTTCAGATTAATTAAACAATAAAATATATAGTTTTACAACATTACATGTAAAGAGTCAAGTGGAAGTCTTTCTAAAGTTATTTAATGATATTTATATTATGGAAGCAGATTTTTGACATTTTACCTTTTTCAGATATAATAAACACGCACAAAACAAAAGCAAACGGCAAGAACACAGAGCTGGAAAACCCACCCGATCGACCAAAATCAACTGAAAATTCTCCCACACAACAGAACCTCCTTTATTCCTCGCTGGCTCCAAATCTCTCAGTGGAATGATCAGTGGTTCGCTGTCACCATCAAAACACTCCACAAATCCCGCGAATGATTCATTTCCTTTTAAACCATTGAATCAGACACCGAAGCAGTTAGGCTCTAACTGAAGCTTCGGACGTCACTGATCACGTGACTCTGGCCAAACGAATCAAGCTTCGACACAGAGCTTCTGAAGCAGTGTGTTGATTTTTTTGACACACGCACCGGAGCTTCAGCTTCAAGCGGACCATCACTAGTCTTTAGCATCAATTCATATGTAAATTAGGTCGTTACCTGAGAATTCTGGAGGGGAGTGGGTGTGTGTGAATGATTGCTGATGTGTAACTGCCAACTGCCTCTTTGTGTGTGCGTGTGTGTGTGTGTATGGGGGGTGGGGGACTTCCTTTTGTGTTGAGGTGGATATAATCTCACTGCATTTAGCCTAATCCTTCATTGCCCTGAAGAATTCTGTGGTGTACGAACCTCCTCTCCAAGGAAAGAAAATGCAGCAGGCCTTGGAAATGATCCTGAGCGAAGTCAACCCTTGTGACTCGGATGGAGAAGACCTAGAACTTCAGCCGGATTCGGACTCGGAGCTGTCTGATCAGTCTTCAGGTTAGGTTTCATTTCATATTATTTCCTATTTCATTTCAAACAAGTAAGTGAAAAATACTAAAAAAGCAGAGCAGGATTAGGGTTAGCTAGTAACCCTAACTCTAGTTGTATCTTTTTATTTAGGAAGACATTTCATTTCATATCATTTCCTATTTCATTTCAAACAAGTAAGTGGATGTAGTAAGTAAGATATTTCAGACATTATTCTGATACAGAGGAGGAGATACTGGAATTATAATTAGTATCTATGCATGCATTTGTGATTTCGTTTGACCTTCCCATTGCTCACAATTTGAATTTGTTCACACTGCAGATGAGGAGACTGCTTCTCCACCTAAAAAGAGAGCTTGTTTGGGGACTGAGACAGCGAAAGATGGCACAGTGTGGCGTGAAGAACAGGTGGGGACCTGTCTCCCTTTCACCCCAATAGAAGCGTACGCTGCAGATGGAGAGCCAACGGCTGAGGCCAGGAAAAGTATCTCAAGTCGCCTTCAGAGCTTCCTGTGTTTCATCACTCTTGACATGCTTCATAGCATTCAAGAATGGACTATTCAACATGCACAGGAAACGGAGCATGTTCATTGGTTCATGGACCTCCCTGAACTAATGGCATTTATTGCAATTGTCATCTTGCGGGGAGTTAACAGGGTTCCATCTCTACGTGACTGCTGGTCAGCAAACCTGGGAAACCCACAGATAATTGGAACTATGGCACGAAACCGCTTCCAAGACATCATGCAACACCTACGCTTTGATGACAAGTCCACCCGCAGTGATCGAGCAAAGACTGATAAGTTTGCTGCAATTTCCAGTGTGTGGGGATCATTTGTCACCAACTGCATCACGTGCTACAACCCTGGTCTACATATCACCGTTGATGAGCAGCTTTTCCCATCAAAGACTCGGTGCTGTTTCCTGCAGTATATTGCAAGTAAACCTGACAAGTTTGGGATCAAGTTTTGGGTGGCTTGCGACCTAAAATCCAAGTACATTTGCAATGTCTTCCCATATCTTGGCAAGGACCCCAATCGTCCCAGTGAGGAGAGACTGTCTGAAGATGTAGTGATGAGGCTGATGGAACCATTCCTAGACAAGGGCAGAAATGTTACCACGGACAATTTCTTCACATCGCTTTCACTTGCGCAAAAACTTCTTGGACGGAAAACCACCATCCTCGGCACAGTCAACAAGATTCGCAGGGAAATTCCTCAATCCACTAGACAGACAGATCGCAATGAATTCACCACTCAGGTATGTTGCAGGTCTTTTGTGGTTCTATGTTTATGTGTTTCATTGTGTGTAAAAGTGCTATGGAAATAACAATTTATCTTATTTCTTAGGTGTTTTCAACCTCTGCTGCCACGCTGACGGCGTATGCGGCCAAACGGAAGAAGACAGTCTATATTCTTAGCAGCATGCACGGCGTGGTTCAGACTGATAACACTACCAAAAGGAAGCCAAACACTGTCACCCTTTACAACAAAACAAAGTGTGGCGTGGATGTGATGGACCAGATGGTTCGGGAGTACACTGTCCGCAGAGGAACACGGCGCTGGCCAGTCGCCGTGTTTTATAACATGATTGACATGGCAGCACTGAATGCACATGTGCTGTATCAAGCATGCACCGGGACGAAGGAAAGACGGGTGGACTTCCTGGTGGAGCTTGCAAGAGAGTTGGCTCACTCTCATGTAGCTGCGAAGAAGGCAAGAAAAGAACAGTTGCTTTGGACACAACCCTCCACACCGAGCCCTGGAAAAAGAGCCATGTGTCAGGTCAAATACAAATGCAAGAACAATCATGCCACTGAGCGATGTGTTCGCTGCAACAGATACACATGTGGTAAATGCAGACTACAGATACCGTGGCAGTGCCAGGATTGTGAGTGATTGCTGAAAATGTTGAAATGTACTCACTCACTTTTTATTATTATTTGTAAATATGTGTACAAATGGTTGATTTTTTGTACTGTTTTCATCAATAAATCTCAGCAACAAAGGACAAACACCCATGTTTGTTGATTTCTCCCTAAGACGGCAAACTGAAACACTCCAAGTTGGTGACTTTTGGAGATTTATTTCCCTGGATGATTGAGAATGCATCAGACGAACACAAAAGGAAAGTTCACGGCTTTTAGCAGCTCCCCCACCCCCTCATTCACACACCCCCACTCCCCTCCAGAATTCCCAGATAACAACCTAATTTACATATGAATGACTAGACAATTTAGCTTCCACTTGGCTGAAGCTAAAGCTTAGCTAAAAGCCTACCAGCCATTTGGAAGGCGGGTTTTAAAGGTAGAAAGGTGGAAGCCTGGGCACTGCTGCTCTCGGGGGACTCTAAGTGTTAAACCTGGCTGCAGGTTACGGCCTCCTGTTTGTTTCAGAGCAGGTTTTAAGACTGAATAAAGTTTGATTTAAAAGCTGGTCATGCTTTCATCTCCTGGTAAACAATCAGGGAGCTCCAGAGTCTCTGAAAAAGCTGTTAAACAAGGGTGTTTTACCGCAGGAGGCTTTCACACGTCAGACCAGCCACAGTCCAGCCAATCAGAAAGCAGCACCACACCTCCATGCTGGACATGGTGGCGTAAAAAAGAGGAACAGGAGGAAAGAGCAAAGTAACCTGATACGACACTGATGTGTCAGCAAACAGAGACTGGTGTCTGCGCGCTGACTCAGCAGGACACATTAATAAAACAAGAAGACTTAATGACTTTCAGCAGCTTTATGCTACAAATATTTTTAAGTAAATGAATGCTGGGACATGCTGCTGGCAAATATATTCAGGCCTTCATAACTCTGCACAGCTTCAATCACTCATGTGATTACACATCACGTTACAGTGTGAGCTTCCAAAGCAGCTCAGGGGACGACGTGTCAAAGAATAATTCAGAGAGAATCATCACAGGGCTGTTTACCCTGTTTCAGGTAAACCTGCCAGTTTTCAGAAATGAAACATGGGGCTAAGGCTCAACCATGTTTATCAGATTTATCCACAGAAACTAGAGCAGGGCCCTGTGCTTCGTACGTGGCTTACTACATCCAAGATCAAATGACACATCCAAGACCAAACCATCGTGCTAACCGTGAGCGCGCTAATCCGGTTCCCCGAACACACCTGCTGTTGATGTTTAGTACAGCTGGACGCAGTAATGTGACATCACTGGGTGTCGTAAAAGGGGCTACGCATCGATAGTAGAACCCTCTGATTGGTCGGCGAAAATGTCGACGGAGCGCGCTCGGCTCGGTATTTTTCGGCAGCAGAGCAAGAACTCTTGAGTGAGGGATTTCAGGAGTTTCAGAGTTTAATTAAAACGCAAGGGAACACTGCAAAGGCTGCAAAAGCAAGGAGAGAGGGCTGGCAGGAAGTTGCTGACAAATTAAACTCGTAAGTAATTTAATAATAACAATAATAATGGAGTGGATTGATATAGCGCTTTTCAAGGCACCCAAAGCGCTTTACAATGCCACTATTCAGTCACTCTCACATTCACACACTGGTGGAGGCAGCTACAGTTGTAGCCACAGCTGCCCTGGGCAGACTGACAGAAGCCAGGCTGCCATATCGCACCATCGGCCCCTCTGGCCAACACCAGTAGGCGGTAGGGTAGATTTATCATATCACACTATATTATCCAATATTATATTACATTATATTATATTATAATATGTTATATTATATCCCCTTTCACATTAGAGCCACGACAGGACCCACTAGAACATGGGAACAAGTAAAAGTGAAATATAAGAATATTCTACAGAATGGTAATATTTATCACTTATATTGCTTTGAGTCTCTTGGAAAGAGACCCTGAAATAATCTGTTTGTTTGTTTATAACAGCAACCAAGAAAAGGGCAGAGCAAAAAAAGACAGGTGGTGGTCCTGCACCCTCGTCAACAAGTTGGTTAAGTGAATAATACCCTCACGGGAAAATCGATATCTCTCTATGAGCACACTGTCGCGCTGAGCTAAAGGATCCTGTCTGTCCCGCAATATACGCTGAATTCTGAGGACTCTCCTTATCAATCTTGCACCTTCCGCAATGGGCTGCTCGCGTATACGGACAGGACATGACTGCGACAGACTTCCCAAATCCACCTTCACTTTTATAGCCGTGGTCTCTCATCTTGATTACACGAAGTAATTTGCAATTGCTACTCTGAAATATGAATTACATCTGTAATAATCACATACATGTAATAGAATGTTAATAGTACATTTCCCTTTTTTAGGAAATGACCTGTATGTATCTGTGTGACATCAATAAAAGGATCAAGTGCTGCATTGTCTTTAGTTACATTGATGTTATTTATTTATGGTGAAACAGTGGTGGAATATCGCTGTTGCTTTCGTATGAATGACGCGGGCATACCTGCGTGGCCGCGATCTAATCCTGTTTACATAAAGTAAACCTGCTCCCCAGCAGGTTTACGCTTACGGCTCTGTTGCTATGACAGCAAGTCCCGGATGGGCTTCGGGGAACCGAACGATCCAGGATCACGCGAAATCGTCAACAATCTAATCCAGCTAACTCACTTAGCGAGGTACGAAGAACGGGCCCCAGCTGTTTAAATCAGAGCAGATGTGAAGAGGGATGTGCACGGTGTTGTTTCAGCCTCCTAACCACACAGAGAGACAGTCCACCAACTGAAGCAGCATCATTCAGCACGGACAGGAAAACCAGGCTGCTGCTCCACACACCGAGACAAGAAGCAAACAGAGAGACAGAGAGCTGTTTTACATAAAACTCTTTATTATAAAGACTCAACACTGACACCAGCACACTCACCTGCTTCTGTCTGCCGTCGTCAGTCAGCTCTCACAGTGAAACTCTCCACCATCTGACCTTAGAACTGAAGAAGCTTCTCGGATGAGAGGTGAAACGTCTTCAAGTAACTTAAAGAAGTCCAGACACTTTTCTTTGCAAGCTCCTTTGACCTCACAGTGAAACTGAGTTTACAACCCAATAAAAACTATGAAATGATCCATATTTAAAACCGATGTCTATGAGTCATGGTTGCTGTCAGCACCTCAGTTCACCGTCAATAAAAGTACTGCAGACAAACGTCTTGATGCATGCTCGGTCATCCAGGTGAGAGATACTGCAGACAAACAATGAAGCCCCAACTTTAACTTTACTAAAATACAATGAAAAAGTACATCAGCGCCTTCATTGGTTGATATATCAGAGGACTGATGGCTCACAAATCTAAAAGCAGCTCATAAAAGCAGACATGATGCTATTTAGAGAACAATCACACATAAGCAACACTTTAACACTTAGAGTCCCCCGAGAGCAGCAGTGCCCAGCCTTCCACCTTTCTACCTTTAAAACCCGCCTTCCAAATGGCTGGTAGGCTTTTAGCTAGGCTTTAGCTTCAGCCAAGTGGAAGCTAAATTGTCTAGTCATTCATATGTAAATTAGGTTGTTATCTGGGAATTCTGGAGGGGAGTGCGGGTGTGTGAATGAGGGGGTGGGGGAGCTGCTAAAAGCTGTGAACTTCCTTTTGTGTTCGTCTTGATGCATTCTCAATCATCCAGGGAAATAAATCTCCAAAAGTCACCAACTTGGAGTGTTTCAGTTTGCCATCTTAGGGAGAAATCAACACACATGGGTGTTTGTCCTTTGTTGCTGAGATTTATTGATAAAAACAGTACAAAAAACCAACCATTTGTACACATATTTACAAATAATAATAAAAAGTGAGTGAGTACTGTGGTGTATTCATAATTGTCTCTGGTACATTTGTTGTATGGGCAGTATGTGTTCACTGTTTGATTGTGTAATTACGTGTTACGCACTGGCAATGCATGCCGGTAGATGGTAATACAGGAGGTAAAAGAGATGGTCTTACCGCACACAGTGGTCCCGCGTACTTATTCAGATTCAGAGTAAGAATCACACATGGTGTCAGAAGTGCTGTGTGACTTGTAAGACTCCATACATCTGCCGAGTGTGAGGAGAAGAGGAAGGTGGAAACACAATGCCGAATGACGACGTAGACGATCGTCCGAGGGCAGGAGTTAGCACCGCGGCTAGCACTCCCAGCGCTACGTTTAGCATCCAACCACCGGAGCCCTTTGATTTTTCCAAACCACACGAATGGACAAGATGGGTCCGTCGCTTCGAGAGATTCCGCCAGGCAAGTAATCTGTCTGCGAGCTCGGAGGAAAATCAAGTGAACACTCTCATATATTGTATGGGAGACGAAGCGGATGACGTCCTGAGAGGACTAAAGTTAAGTGATGTAGACCAACGGGACTATGCTAAAGTGAGAGATAGCTTCCACAACTTTTTCATTGTCAGGAAAAATGTTGTTTATGAGCGCGCACGTTTTAATATGCGCAAACAAGAGCCGAATGAGACTGTTGATGCATTTGTGACTGCCTTGCATGCATTAGCAGAGCACTGTAACTACGGACCGCTCCACGATGAGCTGATAAGAGACAGAATAGTAGTGGGCTTGGCCGACACGAGGCTGTCTGAGCGCATGCAGATGGAAAAAGACTTGGACTTGGATAAAGCTATAAATATGGCCAGGCAGTCAGAAGAAATCAAAAAGCAACAGTCAGCTTTGAGAAGTGAAACAAATGTAATGCAAATAAATGCGAAAACAGTTGACAGAGTGATACAAAAGCACGACAAAACAAAGTTCAACATGTTCAAAAATAAAACTGTCAAAACACAACAGCAATATAGCAAGAGACAAAGTAACAAATGCTACAAGTGCGGAGGCTCTCCACATCCGAAACCTGAGTGCCCAGCAAATGATGCAAAATGTCATTTATGTGGAAAAAAAGGTCACTACCAGCGAGTCTGCAGACAAAGCAAGACAGTGCAAAGTATTGAGGAGGAAGAGGAGCAAGGTTTCTTCCTCGGCTCAGTTTCCAGTGACGGCCAGGCGTGGACAGCCATCATACAAGTGAAAGATGCAAAAATCACTTTCAAACTGGATACTGGAGCAGATGTGACTGTAATAGCTGACTCAGACTTATCAAAGATTTTTGCTAACGAACACAGACCAGTTCTCCAGCAGCCAGAAAAACCTTTGTTAGGCCCTGGAAAAACACCACTGGACGTTGCAGGTTTTACAAAGCTACAGCTCAACTACGGAGCGAAACAGACAACAGAGAAGGTCTATGTTGTAAGAAACCTGAGCACTCCACTGCTAGGCCTGCCCGCCATTACAGCTCTTGGCCTGCTGGTGCGAGTTGACGCGGTTTCAATGGACACTCTGAAGACTACTTAACCTAAACTTTGCAATGGTCTAGGGAAAGTGCAGCGGGCCTATCACATTAAACTCAAACCGAATGCTGTGCCGTACTCACTCACAACTCCGCGAAGGCTTCCTCTGCCTCTGATGGGAAGGGTAAAAGAGGAACTCCAACGAATGGAAGAGCTTGGTGTCATTACCCGAGTTGAGGAACCAACGGATTGGTGTGCCGGCATGGTTGTTGTTCCAAAGAAAAACAGCCCTAGGCTAAGACTTTGCGTAGACTTTACCGGACTAAATGAGTATGTGTGCAGGGAAAAATATGTGCTGCCATCGGTTGAACAAAGTCTCGGAATGCTCGCAGGAGCCAAAGTG